TATATACAAATAGTGGCGGCGCAGCGCTGCTGCTGAAATATGAGCGCCGCTGCTAGGGGGCGCCAGCCAGGTACCCAAAAAAAAAAATATATATATTTGTTTTATTCTTAAAATAATAATAAGTGGCGACCCTTTTTCATTTGATTGTTTGTTATGTAGATTTGTAGTATTTGTGTTACTGGCATAGGCGGTCGCCTAGGGCGCCAGATCTGGGGGGCGCTGCGCTGGTAGCTCTGGGAGGGAAAAAACATTTTTGACCGTTGGCGCTCATCCAAATGTTCCGGCCTTGATGTAACAACATTCATAATTAAGTAAATGTAACACCCTTTTCACCCCGGTTACACGTTTAATTTGCCCTGTACGGTGGGCGCTAGGTTAACTAGGTAAAATAAGATATGAATGAACAACAAAAATAAAATAAGCTACATTTATTTATTATTGGCTATGGTAGGTTATTGGTTATGTTCACATACTTATTTGATTATTAAAATGTAAACCAATCTTTTTCATATGGGCGTTTTAGAGTTGTACCCCCTAGATCAGGTCTCTAGTAATTCTGTGCTCAAAGTGCACCAGATTGAAGCATTTTACTGTAAAATGTTCAAAAAAAAATCTTCCCGTTAACCCCCCAACTTCAAGCATGTTCATACAATACTGAATACATTTGAAGCCATTCTGACATCTATTACCTATGTCAATAAGTTTCTGTTTTTGTCAGTGTATTTGTTCTTTTGTTAGAGATTTTCCAAGAGTGGCTGCCATCCACCGAGACTGAAAATACATATCCAAAACTCAAACTATCAACCAAAAATGAAATGTGCTGTGACAGTTGGACAACAAGTTCGTCGTAGTAAGACGAGTGAGAAAGTGAATTCTTTACTTCTGTGGCGCCGCGCAAGAACACTGTCGCATTTATGATGCCGAAGGATACAAAACCAACACCTCGACGCAAGTCGTGGTCCGTTACTTCCGGCCGAGGTCTCAAGCCCGTTCCGTTTTCGCAAGGCTCTGGTGGATAAAAGTCCGCCTGGTCTCAGGCGCCACAAATCAAGTTGGATTTCCATGAGCCTGACGCGAACGGTGTGGGCTGTTGGTTTACTTGCGTGGTTCCGCCGTGTGCTCGGCCCAATATAAGTTGGCCTGATATTTCTTGCCGACCCACGACTTACGTGGAGGTGTACTGAAAACTCCGTCGGTAAGTTGAGGTTAAACATAGGCTAAGGCGTGTAAACCTGGAAACTCGACCCACGTCGACACTGACGAGTGACGGAAAACATGAAAGGGGTAAATTAAGGAGAACGTACCCGGCAGGTTGACAGGAAGAAGACTAAGAGTCGTAAGTCAATGGCGAGGGAACAAAGAGAAAGAGAAGCGGAGGGACGCGGGCCCGGCGGCCGGGGGGCGCTGGCCCACCGGATACAAAAGAAGATTGGAGTTTTGTTTTAACTTTCGGTAAAAGTTTAAAAACAAACCTAAATTTTTGACGTTTAGTTTAATTAAAGATACTTTAATCCTTAAATTCTTCAATTAGCGGGATTGACCCAACGCGAAAGTTTTAACAACGGTTCGAAGACCAGAGTTGTCCTGTGCACTAGCCAAGTCGGTGTTCGTGTTATTATAATCGGGATTACTCATGAGGTTTTCCATCCAACTACGGTCGACGGAATATGGACATTCATGAGATTAATTTGTACGAAGAGTGACCGACACGTGGCGAAGACACGCTAAACATTCACCTCCAGAAAACACATCGTTTGGACTTTTCCGTGGTAACACAACCGTGAGGACTTCACCAACACGTTCACCGTCGGCGAACAAACCTTACGCATCCCCGAGTCTCAGTAGTCGTCGCCACGATCTCCGTGCCACCGCGGGTCGTATTTGTCAGCCCGACCTCGCCGGTGCCGGCGCGCTCTCCGTGGTGTGAGTGTGACGCCGCGTTCGACGCCGGGGCGGCGCGTTCAAACAATGGATAGCGAAGTCGTCGTTCTTTGCGCGGCAAGTGACGTCCGGATCATTCGTCGCCCGGCCGAAGATGGTCTGTTAGCCGACGCGGGATCTTCCACTGCTAACATGCCGGCTGTAACACATCACACGCATTTGTCTTTATCTG